AACTTCGGGAACAGCACCGGAAATATCCAACAGGAACCCGTGTTGGAGGATGGATATATCTTCGGAGATGTTCTCGCGAACCCATGGGCCACTGATGTCATTCAGTGCATGCTGGGTCCAAGGTCGGCACTACGGTTCTACAGTGCCAATACAGTTTTCAAGGCTACGGGTCGTCAGCCGCCACACATTGACGTCCACTTCGATTTTCCAAAAGTGCCCTTTGGCTACTGTGTCAACATCAACCTCGTTGAAACGTCACCTAAGAATGGGGCGACAGAGGTCTGGCTAGGTACTCACACCGAAACCGACCACGGCGTCATGGATGAGACTCGGGGACACATCCGCACAGAAATTCAAGAGCAGCGTCGAAAGATTAGGCCCCCTATTCAACCTAGTCTTCCAAGGGGATCTCTTGTTATCCGTGACTTCCGATTATGGCATGCCGGTATGCCTAACACCACCGATGATCCGCGAGTGATGCTAGTCTCAGTTCAGTTTCCTCATTGGTATCGCAGCGATCTCAAGATCAAGCTCCCATCCAGCGTGAAAGATCAAGTCGAATGGGGTGATGTTGTACCATGTGTTGAGTGGTTGCCCGAGGGCTATGAATACCTGCAAGGAGCGCATGATCACGACTTTGCTCTCCAGCCGTAGAACCTCTACCTGAGATATAGATGAACATATCCCCAATGCTTCATCATGTCTCGAGCACCTACGTTTGAAGACATTGGAACTGTGGAAAACAGCATTTGATGTTCGAGAGTCTTAGTAATGACTTCTTGGATGTGTCTCCTAGAAAGGCCAATTCAATTTCATTACGCAGAGGCTGTCTTCAGGTGTTGGAGGAAATCGGAGTTACACAAAGACCTGAAGCGTGCCTGTCGAGGGCTGGGAACTCCTACGCCTCGGTACGAATTTAGATCTCAAACTCGCCTGTCGAACACACCACACAAGGAATCCGTCCGAGAGCAATCGTCAACTGTGTCTAAATCATTCCAAAATGCACTACATACGCTATGAATATGGGTATGCGATACTCAGGTTACACAATTCCGTTTGTTGTATAAATGATAGTCACGTGCGCTTGCGTAGTAACAGCAACATATCTAGTCGCTGCTACAGCATCATATAATGACATCTAATTTCTGTTCAGGCCAAACTATTTCTAGGACTATCGGTGAAAGTGCACTGAGGAAGTCGGAAACGAACGAGACGAGCTATCCCGGGAGAAGCTAGAAGCAATATGCGATACTCGTATGGTTCTAGGGTTGATTAGAACGAAGACCTGCGGATGTGCCTCTGCCCCCTCTTCCCCCTTATAGGCCCTGGCTGTTTCTGTCGGGTGTCGGATATTTCAAGCACTTCATAATGGTACAAGATATTTCGATAACCACGAATGTGGTAACCTCGTCACACATAACACGTCGTCTATGCCTCAAACAAAGTTGTCCTCGCAATTTGCGGTTACCGTCGTCAGTGTCATGGCTCATGACTTGGGTACCAAGCTTCGAACGGTCCGGCACGACATTTCTCATGGGCTGTAAAGATGTCGAGTTGAGTAAGTGAGAATTGCAGGAGCCAGCGACTTCTATCAAGTGTTTGCAGCTTAGATCTTCATTGGTTAAGCCGCTGCTGCCGGCTCACCCGTATTTCACTTGATGCTGACGAAGGATCATGCGAGATGCGGGGCTTTTTCGAGGGTAGTACCCACCACACATATCGGCCAACAAAAGGAATAATCCTTCAAACGGTATTATATGAGATTCATCCCTTTATTAAACATTCATCCTGATCAAAAAGCCTGCACTGATCTTAAACTACCATTATCCAGGTTCCATTGCGCTTCGTGACTCTTGTGAGGAGACCAGCCGCAGTACTTATCGAAAATGGCGACACCTCACCCCCTTTCTGCTTCTGCGCTCTTCTCATTAAAGGGAAGGGTGGCTGTTGGCAAGTCTATCCTGCCCCCCTTCTCATCAGCACTTTTACTGACTATCGCGACCAAGTAACTGGAGGAGGAACAGGTATCGGTCTGAGTAAGTTCCACGCGCTCGGCTGAGACGGAGTAGGGGCTCGCACTAACAAGATCTGTAGTGATCACTCAGGCTCTGGCCGCCAACGGTGCAAAGGTTTACATTACCGGCCGAAGAGCCGATGTCCTCGAGAATGCTGCACGCACTTCCGCCGATACGCTTGGACCGAGCGGCGGGACAGTCATCCCCTTGACAATGGACGTGACATCGAAGGACAGCATCAAGGGTGCCGTGGACGAGATTTCCAAGAAGGAGGGACACGTCAACATGTGAGTGTCACCTATGATGATGACATTGACTTACTCATCTTTTCGCTTGACAGTCTCGTGAACAATGCAGGTGTCTGGAAGGGAAGGGCAGCTGCGAAACCCGAAGATGGGGCCGAGAAATACGGGGATGCCATGTTTGACATGAGCATTGACGACTCTTGGCAACAAGGTGACCAAATACCAGCCAACACCCTCTTCGGCTCCGATGACTTACTGAATGCCAGCCTACCTGACCAATTGCACTTCATGCTACTTCGTCACTGCGGCTTTCCTTCCTCTCCTTGCCAAGGCTGCCTCAACCCCTATCGGGACGACGGGAACTGTCATCAACATCTCGTCCGTCTCTGGTATGCTCAATGTGTAAGCTTTCCGTACGAAGAAACCTGGATGGAATGCTGACTACCGCCACAGGAGCCAGAACAGTCAATACTCGTACAATGTAAGCTCCATTGCTTTCCACATGTGACTGTTATCTCATTTCCTGTGTAGTGCAGCAAGGCTGCAATCAACCATCTCACTCGACAGATGGCTTTTGAGCTTGTCCACGAGAATGTGAGAATTCGCGTCAACGGCATTGCCCCAGGTCAGTAGCTTCCCGGCAGACGAGGGCTCGTTTGTTACATGCTGACATCGGCGATTCTATTCAAGGTTGGTTCCCCTCCGAGATGACCACCGGGCCATCAGGCTCTTACGATAAAGAGAAGCTTCGACTATCTATGTTGAAGATGGGCGCCAAGGTCGACCGAATGGGCACACCTGATGAAATTGCGAGCGTGGGTTCTTCCCAGTTCTCAAATGAGTGATGATTTTTGCTGACAAACTCCCAGATTGTACTCACGCTTGCTACGAACGAATATATGTGGGGAACTATTATACCTGTGGATGGGGGTGCTCTTCTTCAGTTGCCCGGTATCATGTAGGATTGCAAGCCCTTTCCGGACTGGACATGGTGTGTATTCCTCAGTCTGGTACGTCCACTTTCGATGATAGCGCGCAATGCGCACATATTAGTTTGAGAAGATGGCACCACTATCTATGAAGCAATATAGGGGTAGACTCGATTTAGATGAACAAGCAACCAACCATTATCTTTACACTTCTTGCTGACTGCTCTGTGACCCTATGCGGCAAATGCCGTTGCCGAACCACGTCTCCATCTAAAGGGCTTTGCGATATCTGCAGGTTGCCGCTTGTTGACCGTTTGCTTTGGATCAGGTATCCAATTACATTCGTCTAGTTTCAAGAGGGGTGGAATGAAACGTTTGCCTGGTTGGACTCTCCAAGTGATGCTTAACCCTCAACGCTCCCTCGACTCATCACTTCAGATTCTCTTCTACTACTTTCACCATCAACTTCTTACGTGCCTGGCCTCTTTTATGGCGTCTACCACTGAGGCACCACAGCGTTTCATCTGTGCCAACAACCAACGCGTATGCGCAGGCAACTTCTCGTGCAAGTAATGCTTGCTAGTGCTGGTGACTACCTCTTGCGTCATGCTACGGCCTGTCTTCTGAACAGCACACTACTAGTACTGCGCCTTGGATTGCCAGAGTCTCGATCTTGGTAAACTACGGAGACCTCGATACAGTTGCAGCGAACACAATCATGCCAATCTTCCTGCTACATGATGAAGATCCACAAAGCACAGCTCAAAATGTCGTACACTTGTGGTATTCGGCGCCGCACGCTACGCTGATGACCCCTCTCAAGCATGCGGTACTAGAGATGACGACCCTGGCCGACGACAAAGTTGACATTCCGAACGAGATGAATGGGGTGGCAAAGTACATGGGCGCATCAACAACTATCTCTGAAAACGGTTCTGGTTTCCGTCGTGCTCCAGCGTGCCGAGAGCTCGTGAGAAAACTACGAGGAACTTGGGGGCCACAAAGGTTTCATTCGCTCCCAAATATCCGGCACGCAGAGCGATGGTGGTCAAGTGTGCTGATACACGCATTTCTGCGTATCCTTCGATAAATGGCCCATGCGGTTGAGAAAGCGTGTATTTAAGTAGCTTACTGACGTTGAATTATGTTTAGTCTTGATTGAGAAGCTAGGCTTTCGGCGCCATGGAAGATGATTGGTGATACACCTAATCTGCTTCGTGGTCCCATGAAGTACGAAGGACGGAGATAGAGCTCGTCTGTAGCATTGCAGACTTGGCCACCGGATCATCTGCGCTTACGTTGAAGACCCGACACACGTCATGAAGTCTTTAAAAGGATCTCTCAACTTTTGGCACTTTCTGGAGTGAAAGCTCAAGTGGGGGCCTCCCTGTTGTCTAATAGCGGTGTTCCATATCAGATTTGGGCTTGCTGAGTGATTTGCAAAGTCGGCAAGGACTACAATTGCCAAGTTCACTACATCCTTCTAATATATTTGATGCTTTACATCTACATCGAGCCGAGAGTGTCCAAAGGAAGAAGAGGTGGCATAAAACAGAAACACAGACTTTGGAATTTCTAGAGGTCGCCCAAATTCTACTCTCACAGCCATTGGAATAGTTATAAACGGGAATGGGTCATTCCCGGTATACGAATACGTCCTTTCACGATCATAATTCATCCGCCTCATAGTTAGATTAGAGTAGAGTTAGAGTGCGACGTGAATGGGATTGATTGCAAACCAACATTTCGACGTGGCCGTAGGACAGATAGCACAAAAAGAAGAAGTAGGAGGTAAAAATATTTATCTCTCCCACCGGTGCTGGGGATTGAACCCAGGCCACTGCAGATCTTCATAGCAGATTGAAAATGCAGGATCCTAAACCACTAGACGACACCGGTATTGTTTTGTTGCTAGAAACTTCCTCTACTGCTGGAGACCTTGATGCTGCAAAGGTAAAATCAAAACCAGAGGCGCGGATCAGGTCGGGTAGTTGCAATCCAGTAGTAAGCAATTTGGGCGTTTGTTGTGCCTGCCTTACTTATTTATGGTTTATCACTTGGAGCACTTGGCAAACGGTTGCTAATCGGACGAAATGTTTAGTATTCTCTCGCCGTGAATGCTATTATGTATTTATAGCTGCTTCAGCTGGACAGATATTCAAGATAACATTAGCGATTATTAGGGGTAGATATGCGTGATGGGCAATTTTTAAACAAGAATATTTGTTTTGAACTTCAGTGGCCTCTATGCTATAGAGATTGTCTTGCTGGAGGAGGATAGTGTTGGACTGCTAGATAACTCAACCCGCCCGATTGTACTGTTCGAATTGGTCAGCTTTAGACAACGGTTTCTTGTTAATTGTCTGGAAAATCAAGCGATTGGTGGTAGCTAGGAAGTGGTTATGGCTGATGTGTTTCGCCAACTCTGCTCTCACTCTTACTGACAACCGGCAGCAACGGGTTCGTCCATGGGCTCCGGTACTGTCGATGGTTGATCGATGGTTGACTGACAGATCTGAATACGTTAGCTTGTATACGCTACCTCCGCTACATACATCGCATCTGGTTGACTGCGTAAGTCTAAGGGGCAATTCGAGTACAATAGCATCACTATGCTCCAACTCCACTACTTGTACTCGATGCTCAAGCTGCGTTCCCTTCCTCAGTCCCCCGCATGTTACTGAACTACTGAGCACCTAGTTCCCACCCATCCTATCGCAGCAGTTAGCATTGAATTCGCAGCGTTCTTAGTCTAGGTTGTCATAGAAACAAGCCGGCCTAGAGAAAGAGGCCAGGTTGCTTATAGCCTCAAGCTGGCGAAGCTCCGAACTTCTCCTCCAGACTCGCTTCAAGCTCTCATGCCGTACTGGTGGTATCTGTCATCCTTCAAGTCCTGAATTTGACAATAAAGCACCTGTACAGGCATGGCCATGTGAACTATTCCTTGCCATAAGCTCACATGTCACATTTACATCTTCTCAAAAAGACGATCGATCAGCCGCACAGACTATGTGACCAAAGTGGGGCCGTTCCCCTGATCGATAACCATAACACACACCGGCTCATGGTGTTAAACTGCTTCAATCGTAAGCTTCAGAACGCCTAGGATACCCGGGAGCTGAGTCATGCCCCTCCACATCTGAATACTGTTTGATTGCGGAACACACCTTGTGCCTTAGACACGGCTCAACTTTTCAGTCTTGAGATTGGATGGCATATAGAGTTTACGTCGAAGCTCAAATTGTAGGGTAAGCGAGGTGCTCTAGGAGTTCTTGCCTGTAATTGGAGGCCCGGAGGGAAGAGTCGACACTAAATTAGTTTTGGGCTAGACTTTGATTAAGTACACATTGTGAGTTTGATCCAATACTGACTCCGTCAGCAGTACAGCTTCAAGGAACTGAAATATCGACGGCTGGCCTAGCACGGACTCAAATGCCACGCATTGTGCAAGGTTATTGTGACGCGGTCCGCGAGTTTCAGCTGGACTGATGCTGCGCTTGCGCTATTGTGGAGTCCAATGACACGTAGTTGGCACGCAGAGCATCACTAGATAGTCAGCCATCCGTCGACGCCCAAGCAACGCGACTAAGGGACATTGGCCAAAACGGCGTCAGGTTGACTAAAAGCTTAAATTGACGACATGGTTTGCTGAGAAGGGGGTATATTCTTAAACAATGTCCATGAAAGCGCACCAGTACGTTTTTCTGGTCAATGTCCTCCATTTCTATCCCAACTCTCAACTCTTATGAGCGCAATAAGCTCTTCCATCCTCCATCTCTAGACCCCGCTCGATGCGTATGGTATTCCCACCCCATCGTTGCCGGTAACTAGACGACCTCGTGTGGGCTCTTCTCGCTGAAGCTTTTGGGCGAGTGGTTATCGAGGGCGTCTGCGGTGAAGATGTCGCTTGTGTGGCGCTGAAGCTCAACGTAATCGTAGGCAAATTCGCCAAGCTGACCATCATCCAGACCGAGCTCTTCTTCCTCAATGGGGATGCGCAGGCTGAGGCCCGGGATGAAGTTCATGACGAACAGAATGAGACAGGTCATGACGAAGGAGTATGAGAAACCAGCGACGCTGTCGGCGAGTTGGTAGCCGAGCTGGACCCAGTTGTGGTTGACCCAACCACCGGGAATCACGGTGATGCCATCGAGAGCGGCTATGTAGTCACTGCGACGAGAGTCAGTAAGCACGGCTGAGTAGGCCTAAAACCAGGGCTACTTACGCGGCAAAGAAACCAGTCAGGATGTTTCCGATCATACCACCAATGGCGTGCGAAGCGAAGATATCAAGCGCGTCGTCAACGCCAATCAGGAACTTGAGCTTGGTGGCGAAATTGCATCCAGCTCCACCGGCAACACCGTACACAACAGCGGCCCAGGGCGCAACGAAACCGGAACCAGGAGTGATAGCGACAAGACCAGCAACGGCCCCAGAGCAGAAACCGACCGCAGACCACTTTCTTTCCAAGCGGTAGTCCAGAATGCACCAGGTGATACCACCAACAGATGCGGCAATGTGGGTAACAATGCAAGCCATGACAGCGCGCAGATTAGCAGCGAGAGCGGAACCGCCGTTGAAGCCAAACCAGCCGACCCATAGGAAGACGGTACCGAGAATAACGTGGGTGACGTTGTGAGGTCGGTAAGGGAGACCAGCTGCCTTGGAGTAACCGGTTCGCTTGCCGAGCATTAGGGAGTAGGCGAGAGCTGCAGAGCCCGACGAAATGTGGACGGGAGTACCACCAGCAAAGTCAAGACCACCCATCTTGAAAGACCAACCCATCGAGTTCCACGTCCAGTACGCAATCGGGTCGTAGACAATGGTAGCCCAGATGAACATGAACACGATGCAAGGAAACATGCGGGCACGGTCAACAGCCGCACCGATGGCGAGAGCGGGACTTTTGCATGGTCAGTTCAACTGGCCTCTTGGAATATGAGATCGAGGACGACTTACGTGATGGCCGCGAACATGCCCTGGTACAGACAAAAGAGAAGATCGGGGATCTTGGTGCTACCAACCGAGGGTGCGCCAAGAACGTCCTTGAGACCGAAGTTGGAGAGGTCACCAATGAAAGGATTGGTGCTAGTATGGGAGAAGGTCAAACTGTAACCCCAGAAGAACCATTGAAACATGATTAATGCGACCGACATCATCGACAGCCATATCAACGACAGGGCGGACTTGCGTCGGGCAAGTCCAGAATAGAAGAAACCGACACCCGGAATCATGAGCAGCACCAGGGCTGAAGACGTTAAGATCCAGGCCATGTCACCACTCTGCAACGGGGTAGTGTCAGCCCAGATTCACATTGTCTCGTCCAAGTTTTCAGATAACTCATACCTCGTACCAGATGTTCAAATCTTGGGTGAGCGAGTCACCTCCAGTGGGAATAGTGCCATTATACTCCGGGACGGACATCGTGGCCGGATGTTGCGGGAAACCGCCGCTCGGTGAAGGTCAAGTGAGTTCTGGCGGAGGAAGCGCTGACTTGAGTATGATGTGAGGTCACTTGCTTGAAGCTAGGTGCTCACGCGCTTTGAGGCTCCAATCCAAGGAAAAGCGACAGACCAAGAAGAGAAGAAGAATAGAGAGGACGATCAAGAAATTGGTAAGCTTTCGGGGCGTCTGTAGGCTAAATACAGACAGGGAAAGCTAGAGCTAGCGACAACGCCGATTAGACGAGAGAGGTACTAAGATGGGAGGTACCTAGGGTAGCTATGACCCATCCCTAAGGTTCACACAGAAGCGAATTAAGAGGAGTGCGCGATTTGGGAATAAGATCCCTGGCAGACCCAAAGATCATCAGCCAAATTGACCATTGACATTAGCTGGTGGACCCTCGAGAAGAACCGAAATCAGTAACGGTGCTCCGGGGTGTCTGCTGCTGTGGGACCAGGATGAGCGGGAGGAAGATAACTCTTCAAACTTGTTGTCGATGCGCCGCGCTGCGGCATTCCTCCCGCTCAAGTCTCGCACGGCAGACGTGGTAGGCGAGTGAGAACTCTCAAAGCTCATGACCTCAATTAATGGTTTGCAAGGTATTCTTGCCACGTTGAGAAGAATCATAATGAGAAATGGGAACGGAAGCTGAGTGCTCAGTTCTGTTCTATTCTGTTCCTGTTTACTGTCCTCCACAGTATGGGGATTGGCGAATGCATGCTAAAAGTCGCCGACGCCCGCCCAGCTAACACAGTAAGGTAATATGTAAGCACCACGGCCTTCGTGCAGTTGCCGTAGTGGGGTTTGGGGAATAGAGGCCCCGCTACACAGTAGTAGCGTCTCGATCCAGCAACGAATCACAGCACCACCAACTTAGGTGAACGACATCGGGTCGAAGAACGTCGCCGATCAGGTGTGACTCTACACCTCTGAAAGACGCAACAAAGGGTCACCGTAAGTGGAATTCAATTTGCTACCTCTGCCACTGCCTCCTATGTGTGGTGCCATGGAGCTGAAGATTTCAACGTTGCCTGAGGCCTGGAATGCACCTCATCTTGCGGCGCATATTTTGACCAGCAAACTACTTACTACCTACTTACCTACATATTCAGTATCGAGTGGATGAAACCCGTGGGTGTACGAACATAGGCAAGGCAACCTGTATCAAGCTCTAAATCCAAGAGCTACACCCAGGCGAGGTTACACAGCATGCCACTTGATGGTAAGCACATAGCCTGTCAAGTGCTGAACCAGGAAAACGATTCATCAGGCACTGTCTACGGTATGTCCGAAGTGCATCTACACGGTCCCAGTGAGATTCGTACACTACCTACTATAGGACAGATGACTTGAGTAGATCTGGTGGGGCCAGCCGGAAGCCATGGTATGTACTATGTATGTAGAATCCTTCCTGCGTAACTGGCTTGCATATTAGCAACTGGTGTTGGTTAGGA